CTGGTCTCACTACACCTCTTGCTTTCCTACCTACTCAATGTCTCACTGCAGCCGCAGAAGTAAAACCAGTCTAGACCATCACAGTCTCCCCGTAGAGGGGTAACTCATCCCACCAAGATGATAAACTACCTTACTTAATAATGGAAAAAGTTAACTAAGTGTTGCCCAAACTGTGGGCTGTGAAATCAATTTGGTGAGTTGCAAGGCTCACTGTTAAGCTAAATGGAATTAAACAGAGGCCATCAGAGTGCGTCACATGTAGTAAAGCTAAGGGTTTTGTACCCAGTATGTGTATATGTGTGTTCACTGGTGATGCTGAGTATGTTTCTTGCTGTGGGTAAAGTAAAAAAGGCACCTATCTGGATCTTCATGAAGTTAGCTTCTATATTTCAGAACAGAATTTAAACTTTAATTTGGAACAAAACCCCAAAATCTTCAATAGGCCTTTTGATTACAAGGAGAAAGAGTGTTTCCTCTAAAACAAGGATTCTGGTGTCACTCTTAGAGCAACTGGTAGATATTTGAAAACAAAAATGCCATACAAGGCTCACCCCTCCAGCCTCATTTCTCCCGCTCCCTACTCTGTGGTCTGCATTGTGGCTACACCTTGTCCTTTTGTCCTCCAATCACAGGTTCTCTTCTGGCTCCAGGCCCTGGAATGTGCCATTCTATTGCTGGGAACACTCAAATCCCCCCTTCCCTTTCCAAAGCTCCATTTGTCCCCCTCTGTCAGCTTATCCAGACTGAGATATCACTCTTTTTAGGGAACCTTCTCAGACTGCAAGCCTAGTTGGTACTGAAATCCCCCAGATGAGCCCCTGGGCCACTGGGGTCTGGATGAGCAATTCATGAAGCTGACTAGAACTGTGTCTCTCACCTTTTTAAAATTATTGCTCCATCCCTCCACCCCCCAGGAGTCTTTTAAGACATTTTTCACCTGATTTCGCCTCCCTCTCCCTGATGAAATTTTAACACCACAGATATTCTTTATGTCTGTTTATGTACTTGGGCCCTTTGGAGAGTCATAATCCATTATCTATAGCTAAGATTTGGTATAATCTTAGATAATATGATATGTATAAAATAGAGAACTAATAGGAACCTGCTGTATAAAAAATAAATAAAATACAATTTAAAAAAATCTTAGATAATATGGATTTTTTTTTCTTTTCTTTTTGCTCCATAAGAACAGATTTTTGCCCCATTGAGAACGCATGGAATAGGATAAGATAAAACTCTACTTGTCGTCTTGACAGCACTAAGACAAAACTAGTTCGCATTCTTTCCATCAAGAGGCTTATGTCAAATGCTGAAGAGGTTAAGGTAAATAAGGTTAAAGTATAGATTTAGCAACGAGGCTGCCTTTGACCTCATTGAGGGCAGACTTATTTTGCAGCAACGTGGAGAGTGACCATTGAATACAGGCTACCATTCAAGGAGCTGGGCTGGGAGGGGATAGAATAATTAGCTAGGGGATGACATAAGGTCTAGAAGGTCTTGTTTTGTTTTAGAAAGATGGGGCACAATGGACTTTAGGCTGATGGAGAGGAGCCTGTGGACGCCGAGAGACTAGAGAACATTGAGAAAGGGCTAAGTGGTTGGACGGAAGCCCAGAGGAGGATGGAGGGGACAAGGGAATCCTGAGCAGAGGGGATACGAGCACACAGCCAGCTTCTCCCCGCTCAGACGTCTGGGCGTGAACGTGGAGGCAAGTCCCCTCAGCTGGGAGAGAGAGACCCGGGGCACAGGGAAGGCCTGAGGAAAGGAAGAAGTTTGCCATCTCCACTCTGGAGAAATAGGAGAAGCTGATCGAAATACACAGAAGGATGGCCAAGTGACATCGAGGGCCAGCTGAATGAAAAGCACAAAATTTGTAACAGTTGGATTATTTCTTTTTCCTAACACTTTCCAGGCACTGTCTTAGATGCTGGGGCTACAGCAGTGAACCCTACGTTTCTGACCTCAAAGTGCCATTGTCTGTCTTCCCCAGCTGGAATTTAAATCCAGAAGTAAGGTAGTTTTTTTGTTTGTTTTTGTTTTGGCTGCGCGGCATGTGGGATCTTAGTTCCCTGACCACAAATCGAACCCAAGCCCCCTGCAGCGCGAGCGCGGAGTCTTAACCACTGGATAGCCAGGGAAGTCCCCAAGACTTTGGATTTTGGTTTTTTTCGGGGGGGGGGGGCAGTTCCACCACATAGCTTGTATATGGGATCTCAGTTCCCCAGACAGGGACCAAACCCGTGGCCCCTGCAGTGAGAGCACAGAGTCTTAACCTCTGGCCCACCAGGGAAGTCAGAAGTAAGATAGTTTTAGATGCTGATAATGGCGATGGAGATAAAATAGGGAAGTGACAGGAGGAAGACTCTGGCTAGATGATCAGGAAAGACCTGCCTGAAGAGATGACAACTGACCTGAATCCTGAATGGCTTCTGCCATTCTGAGGGTGGAGCTTTCAAAGCAAAAGGGACTCCAAGTGCAAAGGGCCTGAGGAAGAAAAAAGGTTGGAGTATTCGAGGACAGACAGGAGGCCAGTGAGGCTGAATCATATAGGATCTGGGGAGAGAGGCGGGGAGGAGGTCAGCAGGGGCCAAGAAATAGGTTCTTGAAGGCCGTGGTCAGGATTTTGGATTTCATTCTGGTTACAAGGAGAAGCTTCTGGTTGGGATTTTTAAGCAAGGGAGTGACGTACTTTATCCTATTCTTTGGAACAGTGGCTCTGCTTACAACGGGGAGGATGGACAGTAGGGTAAGAGTGGGGGCAGGGAGACCAGATCAGAAGCCTGGGAGATTCTCCAAAAGGGTCAAGGGAGTTGATGGCAGTTCAGGTGTAGGATTAGGGTCAAAGGACAGTTTGGGGAAAACAGTAGAAATCTCGGGTGTTTGCGTGGGAAATGTGAATACTCTTTTTTAACCTCAGCAACTCACACAAGCAACGTGGGAACACCACTCCTATCTGCTCCTTCTTGCCCATTTTAGAGACCCCTGGAGGCAAGAAACTATAAGACTAACTGGACATGTTTTTCTCTGTCCACCCTACCAGCATCTTTCCAGTATTTATTTTTTAACAGAGTTTATTTTTTTAGAGGGGTTTTAGTTTTAGGTTTTTAAATAGACATTTTTTTACAGCAGTTTTTTAGAACAGGGGTTGGGGGGAGGGGAGATGCATAGGTGGAGCACAAAGGATTTTTAGGGCAGTGAAACTACTCTGTATGATACTATTTTGGTGGATACATGCAATTATACCTTTGTGCAGATTCCTAGAACGGGCAGCACAAAGAGTGAAGCCAAATGGAAATTATTGTCTTTGGGTGATTATAATGTGTTAATGCAGATTCATCAGTTGTAACAAATGTACCGCTCTGGCGGGGATGCGGGGATGTTCATAGGGGAGGTTATGCACGTGTAGGGACAGGGAGTATATGGAAAGATCTCTGTATCTTCTCAGTTTTGCTGGGACTCTTTTTAGGAATTTAAAGCCAAATCCTTAGTACCTTATCTATTTCCTGCCACTGGCAGTGAGTTCTGTTTTTGACTTACCACTCAGAGAGGCACTGAGGAAAACATCTCTCAATATTTTATGAGCTAGAGGACATTAACGTCTCAAAGAGTACATTTTTCCCTTGAGGGTCACCAAGCTGCGAAACGAAGGTCAAAAAAGCTGAGTGTGAACATGATTAGGGCATGTTCTTAAATATATACCAAAAAGTCCACACAGATTTTTAGAGTAATGGAAAAGAGCTAAAGGAAATGGTTCCCTTCTGTTTTCAGATTTTTTATTTTTTGTAGATTTTTTTATTTCATTCTAAGAAAACGGATATGCATTTTAAGGAAAGGTTTTCTGGAGTCTACTGATTCTAGAAAATACTAACCTCTGTGGAGAGGAAGTGTTCTATGTTTAAAACCTTCTTGAGTGTATGCGCATTGCATACACACTGCAGAAATGAAAAGCACAAATGTGTTTATAGTGGTAAGCAAGCTTCCCCCAGCCCCTACCTCCTGATCACTCTGTTACCCTCTCAGGAGGTACCTGCCATTCCCCATGACACAGCTTTCAGAGAGATTCTATTTGTACAAGCAAATACCTACTTATAAAAAAGATAAATTGTAGTGTATTATATGCTGTTCTGGACTTTTCTTTCGTACCTAACATGTCTTGGAGATCCTTCTATAGCAGTGGATAAAGAGTTGCCACATGCTTTTTCAGTGTAAGTTTAATGTTAAGGTATTACAGTTAAGAAATTATATGTTATTTATTTTTGCCAATGAAACAGCAGAGCTGCAACCAGATTAATCCTTAGCTTTCTGGGCTTTAGTATCAAATAGTCCAAAGCTTTAACATTTTTCTCTCCCCCGGGGCTCTATTTTCCTTGCTGAGATGCCCCATTCTATGCCTGTCCAACTCCCATCTGAGGTTCGACGTCATTGTCTGGTTTAGTCCTAGGATCTCATTTTTGATGAGTCAAATGTAATAAACCCAGATGGCGTGGCTCAGATGTCCCTTAAGTATAAAAGATTAAAGGATGAAGTGAAAGTAAATATATAGGACAGAGGGCTGAGGGTTTGTTGAATGTTTGATATTTGAATGTGTGTGTGTGTGTATCTTAATTCCTAATCAGTTACAGCTAAATTCACCTCCCCCCAGCTGTGCACTTGGAGACTAGGATTAATGCAGTTTTAGCTCATATCATAAGACGAGTGCACATCTCTGGGCTGTTCTGATCCGCTAGATCACTGTAGTTCATAAGGACGAAGCACTCCCTCAGATATTTCTCAAACACTGTTTCTGATTCTCTTTTTCTCTGGCGGTAAGCAAGGCAGACACACTTGCCAGGGATAACTGAGCATGTAAGGGCAATCCTTGACTCGGCAGCTCGAGCAGGCTGTGTTGCTAAAAGCAACTTCGAAACATGCCCTATAAATAGCCGTTCATTGTCAGCAGGAGTGAAAAGACAAGAGGGAGTGTGCGGCGCTGTGATTCAGGCCTAATTAAAGGGTTGCGTCTGCGCAGGGTTATAAGCGAAGAGCGGCTCCAACAGATCCTCTAGTCAGTAGGCAACTGCGAGGGTTCGACACCGACAACGTAGCCGGGGCGGAAGGCGTTTGATGCTGGCTTTGCCTCCACTATGGCAAAAATCATCTTGAGGCATCTCATAGAGACTCCAGTGCGATACGAGGAGGAGTTTGAAGCTCGAGGTCTGGAAGACTGCAGGCTGGATCACGCTTTATATGAACTGCCCGGGCCAGCCACCGTGGACCTGGGGAAAGCCAGGGTGGCCCAGCCTGCCCCCGTGGACACCGTAGAGATGCCGCCCCAGAGAGACGAATCCCGCTTCCAGGTCCTGCTGGACGTGGTCCAGTTCCAACCCGAAGATATCATCATTCAGACCTTCGAAGGCTGGCTGCTGATTAAGGCTCAACATGGAACCAGAATGGACGAGCACGGTTTTATCTCAAGAAGCTTCACCCGACAGTATAAACTGCCCGACGGCACTGAAACGAAAGATTTGTCTGCCATCCTCTGTCACGACGGAATTCTGGTGGTGAAAGTGAAGGATTCAGTTGGGACCAAGTGAAGTCTTATCGGTGCCTGTTCATACAGCACGAGGAAGATTCTGGTTCAGCCCATGGTCTCACGAGAATGTGTGTATTACCTACGTTTGAAATGATTTTTATGAAGATTAAAACTATAGACATAGTTCCTGGTATATTGAGGTTGTCTTTGTTACTTTTACTCAGAAAGGAAAATTATTAAATATGTTCCTACAGCTCAAGTTGTTGCTATTCTTACACCTGAGAAACATGAACAGTTTAGGAGACCATAGTCTGATAGCAGAGACGACTCAGAATTATTTCTTCGTTACTCCAACAATGCCAGAGAAGCCGCCTTTTTAACAATTGATGGCAAAAGAGCCACATTAATTTAAGAAATTCTTATCCACTTTATGAAAACTGTTTGTATTGCTGAAAAGAGCTGTGATCCCCTTCGCTTGATAAGCTTTTCTTTTCAGTAGATTTTATCACAGTGGAGTGGAGCTTTGTAAACCTAGAGTCTGAAGGTTAAAATACAGTATTTGAAAACTGGGTCTGAAATATATTTATGATTCACTACATTTGTTACTGCCTTAAACTTACGTTGGAATTTTCAGATATAAATCTGATTTTTAAAAGTTCCAAATACGTACCTCTTTTTTCTTTAAGCTAAACTGGATCTTATCTGCAGTGTTTTCTAAAGCACAGCGTATGTTCTGTGGCTACTTATGAAACATTAAGATGTATTAACTCATACTCATAAATTGAGTTTAGGAAACCACTTTAAAAAGTACAATTATTGAATTCAAAAAATTTTAAACTATGCTTTTTAAATGTTACTTAAAATTTTAGATTTCGGAAGATGGCAAAATGTACTGCATCTGTTCTCACTGCATAATCCTTGGCTTTAAATAGCCTGGCAGGCAGTGGAAGTTCGGAGGCCGGAGCTTACATGGGAGTCTGAGTTGTTACAGCACAGGGGCTGCTTGTATTTCCCCCAGCTGCTGCTTTAGCCCAAGGGAGCACCTGACACACTGGTGATTAGGAATATTGTGTTCAACAGCTGGTCTGTGACATTCCAAAGATTTGCTATCTCATTCTGTACATATGAAATATTTCTTTGAGGAAGTAGCTGCTTTTACCCCATACCCCATGTGAGGCTGAGGACAGTGCTATGAATAGAAGAGGAATTTGGGTGTGGAAGACACCAGGGTAGCTATTGATTGCTGACAATACTGCTGAACTCCTCTATGGTGCTTTATTCATAGTTCACATGCAAAAACGAGAGATATGAAACAACAGAAAAATAAATCGGACAGTTATGCAAGTGGTTTTGAAAACAGAGATGTTTGTTTACGGTCTAATTAAATTGAAAGGATTTTGAAGCTTCATGTTCATATGAGGTTACGGCCCATGCAGTGATGTTTGTGCATGCAACTCGAGAATCACAAATTTTGTTTGACAAAGTGAATATTACAGACCACCTCTGCTACATAACAAAGTTAATGGTAATTAATGGGATTGCATCTACTAATATGATTAGAACTGAGATACCATTTGTCCCACATTATTCTTTCCCATTGCTGGACGGAATAGTGTGAACACAAACTAGTGCTTTGAGAAACAAACACAAAAACCCCTCTCATGTGGCCTTGATCTTACTCTAGATGAGATCTGAGAAAGCTCAGAAAGTGAAATTCTTACCACTAGGAGCCACTGATAGGAAATGTTTAAAAATTATAATTAAAATAAACACATCATTCAATTAACATTTATTTTTTCTAAGACAAATTTTAAGGTAATACACAGCCATTTTTTTGATTTGGAAAATAGATCAAATATTGTCAAAAATAAAAACCATTTATTGGTTGATAACATTTTCAACTAATCTTCACCATTCCTTACTTTAAATACTACTCTAAAGTATAAATGCTTGTGGTTGTAGGTTGGGGATAGAAATGGTGAAAAAAAAAGGAAAAAAAAACCCATTAATATTCTTTACGACCATGAGATAGCTACTTTTAATTCCTACTTCAATCTTCTCTTGCACATAAATACATGTATCCCTCTTCACAAAATTAGGACTATATTTGCAAGGAGTTTTTTTTGTTTTGTTTTGTTTTTTAACATCTTTATTGGAGTATAATTGCTTTACAACGGTGTGTTAGTTTCTGCTGTATAACAAAGTGAATCAGCTATATGTATACATATATCCCCATATCTCCTCCCTCTTGCGTTTCCCTCCCACCCCCCCATCCCACCCCTGTAGTTGGTCACAAAGCACCGAGCTGATCTTCCTGTGCTATGCAGCTGCTTCCCACTAGCTATCTATTTTACATTTGGTAGTGTACACATGTCCATGCTACTCTCTCACTTCGTCCCAGCTTACACCTCCCCATCCCCATGTCCTCAAGTCCATTCTCTACGCCTGTGTCTTTATTCCTGTCATGCCCCTAGATTCTTCAGAACCATTTTTTTTTTTAGATTCCATATATATGTGTTAGCATATGGTATTCGTTTTTCTCTTTCTGACTTACTTCACTCTGCATGACAGTCTCTAGGTCCATCCACCTGACTACAAATAACTCAATTTCGTTTCTTTTTATGGCTGATTAATATTCCGTTGTATATATGTGCCACATAGTCTTTATTCATTCATCTGTCAATGGACACTTAGGTTGCTTCCGTATCCTGGCTATTGTAAATAGAGCTGCTATGAACATTGTGGTACATGTATCTTTTTGAATTATGGTTTTCTCAGGGTATATGCCAAGTAATGGGATTGCTGAGTCATATGGTAGTTCTATTTTTAGTTTTTTAAGGGACTCCCATACTGTTCTCCAGATGGCTGTATCAATTTACATTCCCACCAACAGTGCAAGAGGGTTCCCTTTTCTTCACACCCTCTCCAGCATTTATTGTTTGTAGATTTTTTTTGCGGTCCGCGGGCCTCTCACTTTTGCGGCCTCTCCCACTGCGGAGCACAGGCTCTGGATGCGCAGGCTCAGCGGCCATGGCTCACGGGCCCAGCCACTCCGCGGCACGTGGGATCCCCCCAGACCGGGGCACGAACCCGGGTCCCCTGCATCAGCAGGCGGACTCCCAACCACTGCGCCACCAGGGAAGCCTGTTTGTAGATTTTTTGTTGATGGCCATTCTGACTGGTGTGAGGTGATACCTCACTGTAGTTTTGATTTGCATTTCTCTAATGATTAGTGATGTTGAGCATCCTTTCATATGCTTCTTGGCCATCTGTATGTCTTCTTTGGAGAAATGTCTATTTAGGTCTTCTGCCCATTTTTGGATTGGGTTGTTTGTTTTTTGGATATTGAACTGCATGAGTTGCTTGTATATTTTGGAGATTAATCCTTTGTCAATTGCTTCATTTGCAAATATTTTCTCCCATTCTGAGGGTTGTCTTTTCGTTTTGTCTATGGTTTCCTTTGCTGTACAAAAGCTTTTAAGTTCCATTAGGTCCCATATGTTTATTTTTGTTTTTATTTCCATTTCTCTAGGAGGTGGGTCAAAAAGGATCTTGCTGTGATTTATGTCAGCATGTTCTGCCTATGTTTTCCTCTAAGAGTTTTATAGTGTCTGGTTTTACATTTAGGTCTTTAATCCATTTTGAGTTTATTTTTGTGTATGGTGTTAGGGAGTGTTCTAATTTCATTCTTTTACATGTAGCTGTCCAGTTTTCCCAGCACCACTTATTGAAGAGGCTGTCTTTTCTCCATTGTATATTCTTGCCTCCTTGATCAAAGATAAGGTGACCATATGTGCGTGGGTTTATCTCTGGGCTTTCTATCCTGTTCCATTAATCTATATTTCTATTTTTGTGCCAGTACCATACTGTCTTGATTACTGTAGCTTTGCAGTATAGTCTGAAGTCCAGGAGCCTGAATCCTCCAGCTCCGTTTTTCTTTCTCAAGATTGCTTTGGCTATTCGGGGTCTTTTGTGTTTCCATACAAATTGTGCAATTTTTTGTTCTAGTTCTGTGAAAAATGCCATTGGTAGTTTGATAGGGATTACACTGAATCTGCAGATTGCTTTGTGTAGCATAGTCATTTTCACAATATTGATTCTTCCAATCCAAGAACATGGTATATATCTCCATCTATTTGTATCATCTTTGATTTCTTTCATCAGTGTCTTATAGTTTTCTGCATACAGGTCTTTTGTCTCCCTAGGTAGGTTTATTCCTAGGTATTTTATTCTTTTTGTTGCAATGGTAAATAGGAGTGTTTCCTTAATTTCTCTTTCAAAATTTTCATCAGTAGTGTATAGGATTGCAAGAGATTTCTGTGCATTAATTTTGTATCCTGATACTTTACCAAATGCATTGATTAGCTCTAGTAGTTTTCTGGTAGCATCTATAGGATTCTCTTTATATAGTATCATGTCATCTGCAAACAGTGACAGTTTTACTTCTTCTTTTCTGATTTGCATTCCTTTTCTTTCTTTTTCTTCTCTGAATGCTGTGGCTAAATCTTCCAAAACTGTGTTGAATAACAGTGGTGAGAGTGGGCAACCTTTTCTTGTTCCTGATCTTAGTGGAAATGGTTTCAGTTTTTCACCATTGAGAATGATGTTGGCTGTGGGTTTGTCATATATGGCGTTTTTTTTGAGGTAAGTTCCTTCTATGCCCACTTTCTGGAGGGTTTTTATCATAAATGGGTGTTGAATTCTGTCAAAAGCTTTTTCTGCATCTATTGAGATTATCATATGTTTTTTCTCCTTCAGTTTGTTAGTATGGTTTATCACATTGATTGATTTGCATATATTGAAGAATCCTTGCATTCCTGGAATAAACCCCATGTGATCATGGTATATGATCCTTTTAATGTGCTGTTGGATTCTGTTTGCTGGTATTTTGTTGAGGTTTTTTGCATTTATGTTCATCAGTAATATTGGACTGTAGTTTTCTTTTTTTGTGACATCTTTGTCTGCTTTTGGTATCAGGGTGATGGCCTCATAGAATGAGTTTGGGAGTGTTCCTCCCTCTGCTATATTTTGGAAGAGTTTGAGAAGGATAGGTGTTAGCTCTTCTCTAAATGTTTGATAGAATTCACCTGTGAAGCCATCTGTCCTGGGCTTTTGTTTTTTGGAAGATTTTTAATCACAGTTTCAATTTCAGTGCTTATGATTGGTCTGTTTATATTT